AACAGTTTGTGCGTTAAATTTTGTGCAATTTTTATGGCCTTTTAGGCTTAAGTAGTGAACCACCAAAATTGTTTTGAAGTGTTTCCAATTTACTTTTTCTTTTTTTTTTTTGAATACTTGGAGTGGGTTTTTTTTTTATATATATATTGGCCAATGAGAAACAAGTTTGTTGGCCAATGTCAAATTTTGGCTGGAGCCGATATCAATTCATGGTCACTTTTTCAATAAAAAGGACTGCCATCAGAAAGGGAAGCAGATTGGCAGACAGCAGGACACAGGAAGAGGGCTGTTATAAAATAAAATAAGACATATCTCGGCTGATTTACAGGCAAATAAACTAACATACTCAAGAGCGAGAGCCGGATGTGAACAAGACAAGGCCCTGTCACAAAATGACCATTATTTTCGTTTACACATGTTCCCGATGCACGAGTTCCGGTTGAAAAATAAAATAATATTTAAAGTGTTTCTATTTTTCAACCAATAAAAATGCTTCCCTCCTAGTTATACTTGCGTCGTTTTTTCGAGCCTGTTAAGCCATAAAAAAACGCCATAAAAGGGGGTCACACGGAAGTACAACAGCAGTCAACAGGAGGCCAGGGAAGAGACCTGTCACGGTCAGGCTGAGCGGTTGGCAGTAGTCAGCAGGAGGAGCGCCACGGCAACCAGTGAGAACTACTATGAGAGATCAACCCAGATCTGAAGCCGGCTTATGAACTATACCACAAGGTAGCTGTCCCAAGCCCACATGTTCCTGTTGAAATAAATCTCGTAAATCTATTTCTGCCATTGTCGTATTTCTTTCTTGCAACCATATGCTTGTCTATAACAGGGCTGAGGCAGATCAAGAGATAGGAGACAAGGATGTGCTGTTGACAAGAACAGACTAAGTATAGCATCCTGTACTTCAAAGGAAAGTCCAGTTGGATGTCATAAATCTGACCTGACAGATACAAAGCAGATTTCACACCCAAGAACAAACCAGTAAACTTTATAGGGCAACTGATACAAATCTCTCTGAGCTGAGATATTCTGCTTCTGTATACAATAAAGAACAAAGGTGGGTGCTATTTGTAAAAATTTCTGCCTTGTGCCATATTGTTAAGTCCTTTCTACAAGTTTTTCCCAATTTTTATCTATTTCTGAAGGGAATAATTTTTATACATGAATCCATTTCTTAAACTAATTGTGACATATTTTTCCATGTGAATGTGTTTCATATCTAATAAATTGTTTCATATTTTTTCTTGTTTCTGTGGGTAATCTCTCTTTTTACCTCATAAAAGTGTTATCCTTCCTAAAGAGGTGCACAAAAGGATATTTTTGTGCAACTATTGTTTTGTACTTTTCAAATTTATAATTGTAAATAAATGCATTGTTTTTTTTTTAATTTTATGCAGTGGTTATCTTGTTTCTTAAGTTGTGCCTATTTTTGAAAGTTGCTGTTTCTACCAACTAAGTTTTGTGTCTGGCACAAGAACTTGGAGTTGGTAGAAAAGTTAAACTTTACATCCTCCGTTAGTTCACACAACCGTTATGCCTTGCCAATACCTCATTAATAATGGACTATTCTGTTTTGGAAAAATGGGAAAAGACATTACTTGGTTTCAGTGAGAAAATGAAATAAAGAAAAGGAAAGATAGAAGTGTTTAATGGCTTTTTCATTGAAATGGAAAAGTTTTCAATTTCACATCTTTTCTTTTGTACATCCTTATTTATAAATAAATTTATTAATAAAAAATATTTACAAGACAAGTAGTCATATAATAATTGTGCTAGTCCTTCCCTTTGTCCGTTCTGGGTATGACAATAAACTATGTCCAACAGCAAGGCCTCTGATCAGGAGGTTTTGAGGAGCATGGAACCACCTCTTAATTGCTGGTGTTCCCAGGTCTGCACTGACCCGGGGTGGTAGCACCTGTTATAGTCCCAGCTATGGGCAAATAGTTCACCCTGAAACTGGGGTAAAAACACTATGAAAGTGTAAAAAATTATTTCCAGCAATAAATTTTTGAAGAAAAAAAAACTATTACCAGCTATACATTTTTGAAGAAAAAAATATTACCAGCAATTGTTTTTTGAAAAAAATTATTACAGCAACAAATTTAAAAAAAAAAAATATTACCAGAAATAGATTTTTGACAAAATAAAATATTACCGGCAATGAAAATTTTGTCGGCATTAAATAATCCATTGGGGTTGATATGTCGTAAACCAAACCAAACGAAACCCTTCCTTTGTTAGTTCCTTAATTTGCACAACTGTTACGACCTGCCAGTGTCTCATAAATAATGGACTATTCTATTTTAGTTGCATGGAAATACAAAAGACAATTCAGAGAAATCAGAGATCTCAGTGAAAACAAGAAAGAAAGAAGTGTTTAAGATCTCTTGCTAATACCTCATAAATAACAGACTATTCTGTTTTGATCACGTGAAAAAACAAAAGACATATCAAAGACGCTACTTAATTTCAGTGAGAAAATGAAAGAAAGAAGGGAAGATGGAGGTGTTTAATGCCTGTTTCAATGAAATGGAAAAAAAGTTGTCAAATTCAAATTTTTTCATTCGTACCTACTTCTTAAAATAACAGCTGACATTCACATGACTGTTATTGCAATATTTTGTTAAAGTTGTTAAGCTCAAATATTTAATGATGTAACGGGATTTTCTAAGGATATTTTATTATTGTAGCTTACTCAATCATTAACAGAAGAATTAATATTTATCGGAAATTTTTCAAATAGGAAAACCATTAAAATTTTCACAGGTTAAAACTATTTGTCCTCATTGTTATTGTCATAGTCCCAACGTTTTGGCCATTGTACTCTCCAGCTTTCTTCAGGTGATATATATTGAAATTTTGAGCTGAACCATTTATTTAGTCCACAGGGGTAGATTGTTCTAATTCCATGAGCCATGTCTCTTTTGGATATCTCAGTTTCAGCTAATTCCCTTTAGTAACTCAATTCTCCAAGTTTTTTGTTCCCTTTATTGAACTCACAACTCTCTTGTTCAAAATTCCAATGTATGTCACATGAAGAAGGCAAGAGCATGCAATGCCTGAAATGTCATGAATATAGCAATAAAGATAAGGACAACAGTGTGAACAATGTAAATAGTTACAATACCTAGTTTCAGAAATATAAACAGAATATATATATATATATATATATATATATATATATATATATATAATACAAATTTGTAATTGGTAGGGATTATTCCAAGTAGGACTTTAATCTAATGAGAGCTCAATGTAAGTTATAGAGCAATATAATGATAAATTAAGAAAATACATTAAAAATCCATATTGTTTATAATTTATTTTATCAATATAGTTATAGTCATCTCTTCAGACCAAATATTTTTAAGAAATTGAATCAATCCATCCAGACAGATATACTGGGATAAAAAGGAGAAAGGGAAAAAGAGAGAGGAGAAAAGAAGAAAAAATAATAAGAAAAAATAAAAATAAGAAAAAGTAAAAAAATAAAAATTCTCCTTTCTTCTCTTAATTTTAAAATTTTTTTATTTTTTATTTTTTTACTTTTTCTTTTTATTATTAATATTATTTTTTCTTCTTTTTTTCTCTTTCTTCTTTTTTTCTCTCTCTCTTTCCCCTTTCTTCTTTTTATCCCAGAATATCTGTCTGGATTGATTGATTCCAATCAATGATTAAAAGTATCTTACTGAAATTCTCCAAGGTTTTTATAACACTATTGGACTCTAATTTGAGCAATAAGAATGTATAATTACTTTTTGAGCTTAACAGAAGAATTGTGATGAAATCAATCACACAAAAAATGACATGTTCATCATTAATTAATCATAGCTAAGGATTGGAAGATCATGAAGGATTGAAATAAAGTTCAAATATATATATATATTATTCCAGGATCATTTTCCAACTTATTCAAGATGATCTTTGCCTTCTCTATCCTTCTAACTTTCTGTCCTGGAGTAACAAGGTGCATCACATGTTTCATGTACGATTTCATTTTTAAGTCTTTTTACGCTGCTCATAGATGAAATTCCTCTCTCACGTGCCAAAGACTATATGGATTGAGTTTGATTTTTCTAATTGATCTCTTTAGCTCTAAGTTGAAATGATGATCCCTATTCCTATTGTGACCTCCTGTTTCAGTTTTCCACTCTACTGTTTTTTCTTTTTTAAAATTATTCACTGTTCTCTTGTTGGTTGTTGAATGGACTTTGAAAATGGAAGCCAGAGTATGAATGTTGGTACCATTACTGAAGGTGTGAATGATCTTTTTCCTCTCACCATTACTCAGTTGAGAAGACAGTGGGGCTGACACAAAATGATTTTAACCTGTTCTCTTTCTAGCTGAATAGGGTTTTTTTTAAGTGATTCTTTATGACATTGTATCAAGATGGCAAAATGTCTTATCTGAAAACCTGAAAAAAGAAACTCAATTAGTTTAGTGTTTTTTAGATATTAAACATTTTGTGGGATGGACAATTATGCTGTTCCATGATGTGGTCAATTTTGCTGTTACACTCAGTATGGTATTATTAATGCCACTGAGTTGCACTTCTTGTTTCAGATAATATAATGGCAGATTCTGGCAATTTTGAGGCAGTAATCTAAATTGGGCATCAAAGCTACTGAAGTTGATTGCAGAATTTGGGATGTAGCAGGAAACGAAACAATATCTGATTGTACTAACAAAAACTGATTTAAGAATCTTAAGGGTGATGACTTGTCTTTGAAATAGGTTCCAGAATCAGTTGTTGATTATGATGCTTTAAAATGCAAGAATGAAGAGAACCCAATCACCCCCAGAAGAGCTCAAATCATGGAAAGATATGCGGAGTATTGCATAATTTCATTTGGGGAGGGGGCCATGGTGTACAATAAAGATTTGATTGGAAAATGAAAATGCTTTTTGCAAAAGCCAATAAATATAAAATTTGATTTATTTTTTGAGAATTAAAAAATAATTTAAAATATATTAATAGGTAAAATTTGATTAGCTCTTAAACAAGTCCTGCAGTTTTGGCCATTCCATAAAATAAAGACTCTTTGTTCTTCAGCAATGCTTCTGGTGAATCAAATTCTTTTAGGAGTCCTTTATCAAGAACCAAAATCCTGCAAAGCAAAAAAATAAAAGTAAATGAATGTTTTTCATTATCATAACTGACATATAAGAACTTATTTAAAGGAAAATATTTGTTGGCATCAAAATATGATTAACATTCATTTTATATGCATATATTATGCAGTAGAATGCTTCCTTAGTGATGTTATAGTGGGTTATCAGTTATAGTGAAGTGTATGAGTGTTGAAACAGATTAGTTTGATTTGGCTTTGTTAGATAGCCCACCATAAGAGTGGTATAAAATAAGAAAATCAAATTGTAAAGTGAAACAACAAATTTATATACATATAAATCAATTAAGGTCTCTACAAAAAAAATTAATGAATTTTGGTTGATACAAGGTCGTCAAAATGTTCGGAGTCGTCCTTGCAAGAATGAGTTTATGTGTGTAGGCAGGAACGTATGTGTGGATGTATGTATGAATGTATGTATGAGCATTATCGTAGGGTAGTAATGTCTTTGAAGTAATTGCTCAGTCTTAAGATGTTCCGTTTGTTTATCAAGTATAAAAGAGGTGAGGGAGAAAGGTAGAGATAATGATAACAATCACTTGACGTTTGCCAAAGGACATGTTAATACACCCGTTTCCTTCTCTCTGGTGACAGGCAAACTTGCCCGTATTTTATTTTGTTTGTGGGGCTTGAAAAAGTCATTTGGGAATTCACTCCCTGATATGATTTGGGCCTTTCCATTGGACGACGAACAAACTTCTTGTCGGCTCACAAAAAGGTCTGTAAAAGAATTTTGTTTCTGAGAATTGAAGATTATTTGGGTTTTGTTTTTAAATGTTTCTAGTTTTCTATTGTCCAAAAAACATTTCGCATCAAGGTGTGAAATTTCATGAGTTTTGTTTTGAATTCACTTTTGTGTGTGTGTTAAGCAAAGTTTGTAAATTCAAGTCTTTCTAATTTCTAACAAAATCAATGAATCAGTGCTGAGCATTTGAATTTTTAATCTAGATCTTGTTTTGTTCACTACAATGTCTGGGATCATAGAAAGTTTTTGGTCTACATGACATCAGCTTTTCTCTCATCTTTTTTTTGCCTAGCATTCTGGCATAGCTTCCACATGTTTGCAAGAAGTCAATTCTTTTATCCACTCCTATGTATAAATTCTGACCAATTGGGATTTTGGTCTTTTCTGTTTCAATGTTATTTGATTCTCAAGGAATATGTTGCTGATGTTTAGATTTTAAAGGTATGACATCTGCTGCAGCATTTTCATGAGAAGTAATTCACAAGCAAAATTCCCATAACTAAAGCCTGGGCTGCCTTTAATAAAATGGATGTAATCTGAAATGTAATCTACCAGACAACCTCAAACAGAGCTTTTTTCATGCCACTGTAGAATCAGTTTTAATGTATGGTGCCACTGCTTGGATATTAGCTAAAACCCTTGAATTTGAACTTGATGGAACCAACACTCAAATGCTGAGTGGTATATTTAAAATCTCTCAGTGAGAACATCAAACTAAATCACTGCATAAGGTAACAATGATGAAAGAAACACTATATCAAGAAATAAGAATGTGAACCATGTTTCCCATATTATTTGTAGGTGTTTTATTCAGGACCCTGCCTGTTTGTCTGGGTGGGTAGGTAAGTGATATTTGGGACAGTGTCTTCTATGTCAGCTCCTCCCCCTACCAACTCCTTGCCCATCTACTCCACCCAATGTGGTGGATGACAATACAAAATAGAGGCTTCAGAACCACATGGCAGGCATGTCCATCTCCTGCAAAGTATGGGCCAGAACTCTCTCCTGTATGACTGTTAATATAAACCAGCACCCGGATATACCTTATTTCTGAGTTGGTTGCCACTTGATCTTCAAAAATCAGTTTACTTCCTATTCCCTATGGTCAAAGTGGATACTGCTTAGAAGACAAAACTTCAAAAGGAACTATCTGTTGGTCCATCAAACACTTGAGATCGAGATAAAATCACCTTTTGCCCCTTCTATATGGTTGTTCATAGTATCACAAAGTAACAATTAAGTTCTTGAATTTATCACCATTTCATAACATTGATTACATTTAAGATTTACAACATAAAGAGATATTTTAACTATGTGCATATATTAGTGTTACTAAATTAAATGTAGCTAATCTTTGCCAAGTTACTATCAAGGGAAGTCTAGAAGTGGAGGATCAGGAGATATTTTTTGTTTATATATTTTTGTTTTTAAATGCAATTTTAAATAGTACAACAATGGAATGAAATGAATTAACAAGAAAGCATTTTAAAAAAAGAATCTATTTTCATAATAATTACACAAATGACAAAAGTGACAATATTTTTTTTTTACCCATGCTCAAACCCATCCTGTAAATAGCAGCTCTCAAAGTCTCAATGTTTGTTGTCAAAGTCTCACTGTGTGACTTCCTGCATTATTTGCAATGATGTTATTGTATATTATAGCAGAGTATACAGGGGGCAGGATACGGTGACTGAACATTGAAAGCCAATATTTACAGAGGGCGGATTTCACTGCTAAAGTGTTAATATATAGTTATTTTCTCTCCATGTCATTTTTCTGTCTCTTAGAATTATAGATCAGTCAGTTCAGTCAGTTATGTGCCATGCATGATACACACTTAGGCAATCATGTATCTTTCGATACATAACTGACAAGGCAGATTTTCCCCGCTGTAGGTTGCCATTTCTTTCTGTGGTAGACCAGTTACCATCCAAGGCTATAGAGACTGGTCTGTCCTGCTATTTACTCATAGCTGGGGGGAGAAGAAGAGGATTCATACCTTTCCCAAAGGTTATTAGCACATAAGTGAATGTAATGAATAAGGCAGATTTTTCCCCGCTGTAGGTTGCCATTTCTTTCTGCATGTAGACCAGTTAACATCAAGGCTATAGAAACTGGTCTGTCCTGCTATTTACTCATAGCTGGGGGAGAAGAAGAGGATTCATACCTTTCCCAAGGGGTATTAGCACATAAGTGAATGTAATGAATAAGGCAGATTTTTCCCGCTGTAGGTTGCCATTTCTTTCTCACGGTAGACCAGTTACCATCCAAGGCTATAGAAACTGGTCTGTCCTGCTATTTACTCATAGCTGGGGGGAGAAGAAGAGGATTCATACCTTTCCCAAGGGTATTAGCACATAAGTGAATGTAATGAATAAGGCAGATTTTCCCCGCTGTAGGTTGCCATTTCTTTCTGCGGTAGACCAGTTAACATCCAAGGCTATAGAAACTGGTCTGTCCTGCTATTTACTCATAGCTGGGGGGAGAAGAAGAGGATTCATACCTTTCCCAAGGGTATTAGCACATAAGTGAATGTAATGAATAAGGCAGATTTTCCCCGGCTGTAGGTTGCCATTTCTTTTGCGGTGACCAGTTAGATCCAGTTAACATCAAGGCTATAGAAACTGGTCTGTCCTGCCATTTCTTTTCTGCGGTACTCATAGCTGGGGGAGAAGAAGAGGATTCATACCTTTCCCAAGGGTATTAGCACATAAGTGAATGTAATGAATAAGGCAGATTTTCCCTTTTCTGTAGGTTTCCATTTTCTTTCTCTGTGGACCAGTTACCATCCAAGGCTATAGAAACTGGTCTGTCCTGCTATTTACTCATAGCTGGGGGGAGAAGAAGAGGATTCATACCTTTCCCAAGGGTATTAGCACATAAGTGAATGTAATGAATTTGACTGGAATTTGAACTCAGCTCTCCGATTCCTCAATCTGAGCTGCTATCCATTACTCCACCGTACCTCGCATTATCGAATTATAGATAGTGTTATTAAATAAGAGTATGATAAGATAATGTTTAGAGGACATCTTTATCTTACCTGTCATAATCCATAATGGTATTAAGGCGATGGGCAATGGTTAAAATGGTAGTGTCCTTAAATTGTGTTCGGATTGTGTGTTGGATTAGCTGGTCTGTTTCCATATCAACTGCAGCGGTGGCCTCATCCAGAATGAGGATTTTTGTCTTGTGTAGGATGCTTCTTGCCAAGCATATTAATTGGCGCTGACCAACACTAAATGAATTAAAATGGAAAGCATATTAAATGTATTTTCTTTTTTAATGACCTTTATGCCAAGCACAGCTAAAGACTACAATTTTATTATGTTTATTATTATTTTTATTATTACTAGCCGAAAACCTGACTTGCAAACATTTTTATTAACATTAAGTACTCTGCATCATTTATAAATATTACTTCCCCTTTTACTCTACATGGAATCCCCTTAAAATATAGTGTTTTATATATTAGTTTTATATATTTGAAATTGCAGTAATCTGGCTCTCAATTTCAGACAAGATTGTGTTAGGTGTTGCCATAGAAGGTTATGACTGCACAACTATCATAACAATACTGTACGGTCAGCATTTCATAAGCTTTAAAATAAATGTAGCATCTTTTTATAAATGTGTGTAAGGATAAATTTTGTCTGTGTGTCCTCATCTTACCTCAGTAGAAGAAAACAGTCTGAATTGTTAATATATAATGAATGATTACCAGACTTTTATCTAACGAAGGGCATTTACATCATTAGCAGTAAAATTTAACCGAATATTTAATTTGCAAAACAATTTTTAAAAGCATATTTTAATAAAATATTTCTTCCGTGTTGTTTTTTAAAATTCATATTTAAAAGACTGCCATACATGAGCAAAGATTGTGTTGATAATTTTCTTTGTTTTTTTTGTAATTTCATCATATTTGTATAGTGTGGGCTATTCCCACATAACTTTGCCAGTTTTGCCAAGAAGTTGTTAGTAGGTACCATCAAGTAACTATAAACACAGGGCACTTACTGTCTTCATTCTCTTTTCTGCCTGGCTTGCTGTAGTGATGACATCCACCATGACCTTCTCCCAATATCTTTCTCCAGGTGACTGAACTTACACACACACACACACACACACACACACACACACACACACACACACACACACACACACACACACACACACACAGTATCACCTCCCACATTATCACCTACAGAATTCCTAACTTTTAATGTTTTCTTTCTTTTACATTCATACACATGTATTTTCTCTCTTTTGTTACTCAGATATATAAAAAGACAAAATATACAAAATATTGCATAATAATAATGTCTCCCATTTCCTTACACTCGTCATTTACATGTGTGAAAATCTTAGTCGCCACTGCTTTTAGTCTAATCAGAAGTCCAAAGAAGAATCAGCTATATTATCAGTTCTGATCTGGCAGCTCAGCTTGAGTGACTTTCCCACCACCATAAGGATGCCTCCCTGTGCCTTTTCTATAAATACTTTCATGGTAATTGTTCAGATGAGCCCTTTTGCTATGGTACCTAGTCTTTTTTACTTTAAGCACGGTACTAGACTGGCATCGAGATCTCATTAATTAACAGTTGAACTTTATGTAGCCATAAATTCTATGCTGACAGTTTTTCTTGCACTTCTTGCTTATGGAACTTCGTTCTGGCTCCATGCTTTCCACCCAACTTTTTGCAGCCAAATCTGCAAAAATTTAAATGCAATGTTAATCACTACTACTACCTGATTACTCTTTTATCTTCTCGCTTATTAGTAATGTTTCTGTTTCTAATTCTTCCACACCCAGTAACCCCTTGTATCTTAGTGGCTTTACTGCCTTGCTTGGGGTGAACTTGATTAAAAAAAATAGTGCTGCAATCATAGAAAGGATCTATATCAGTCATAACAGAGAAAACTTATAGTGTTCATAATAAGCATTGTTTCCATCTGCTATTTCACATTATTACAAATTAGTTGGAGCTATTTTCTTGATAACTCAAAATAATCAGTTTAATTGGATTTTCTTAAATCTGTGCCGAATTATCTACACAAGTGAAAAAATAGTAAGTTTGCTGAATTCATTATTGTTATTATTATTATTATTATTATTATAAAAATTCAAATGTTTCTCTCATGGTCAGCTCTCTGTAGCTATGTCTGAAGTAGGAAATTCAAATGAACTTAAATGGTGCTGTTGAAGTCTATAAAAAGACAAATATTTTCCTCCCTCTCTCTCTTTCTCTTTCTTGCTCCAAAATATAGCACTATGTGGTAATTACATTCTCACTGGGGAACGTTAGTTTCTCTGGTCCACTGATGACTGAAATCTCTTTTTAGTTTCCAATGGATGGTGTTTGTACATGTTTCCCAAAAATCTCCACCTATGAAGTATATCAAGATTTCTTTGGTCATTCCAACTCAGCGCAAGGCTGACGAGGTCATCCATTATAATGATGCTTGTACTTACTTACTTTAACTTCTGGACCAAAAATAAAACAGACACACTCAAGAGACACTGAGAACTTTATCTCGTTACAATTATTATAGAAAAGAATTATAGAAAAAAATGGTCTGTTATAGAAACCCAAGTTTTTGTATGCTTCTTTAATTATTTACACGAGAACATGCACCTACCTAAAATATACACTAATACAGAACATTTAAATTCCATAATGTCCTGTTGAAAATGTTTATACAGAAATTTTAAAAGTTTATGAAAACTTCTATTTCAACTGTTTTCTCTTCACAGGACAGGTATTCAGCTAGTACATAAAATGTAAATATAATAAAAAGTACTTTTTACAATATGGTTAACTTAAGCATTACTTGGATTTTTTTTAGTAATGAGCAATATTTCACTATACCTCAGGTTTCCACCATTTTCTCCACATTCATAGTCAAGTTGTTTATTCAGATCTTTGACAAAAGTCTTTAAATGAGAAAGTTCCAGTGCTGACCAAAGATCCTCATCTGCAAACTGTTCCAATGGATCCAAGTTATTACGAAGTGCACCAGAAAAGATTATTGGTTCCTAGAATGAAAAGACAGAAGAGAGTTTAATATATCCAATTTTAGGGAACATCACCAAAGAGCAATGATTAACTCCCAAACACTGCCAAAAAGCAATGATTAACTTCTGAGTCACTCATTAGGTTTTTAGTTATTCACCAAAATATAAATAACTTTCATTTTTTTTCAGTCACATTTTATTCTTTCCTCTTCTCAAAAGAAATTGTTTTTTTCTTTTCCAAAAGAAAATCATATATAATACAAGCAATTCTACATAAATCCAAAATTTTAAAAAATTAATCAGTTTGTCTGACGATCGCAAAAGCAGGAAACCTAGGGTCACAAACTCACATCAATCCAACTAAATATATATATATATATATATACTCACACTACAGTTCAAAAATTTGAGGCCACCTTTGGTAATTTTTTAAATTGGCCCCAAAGGTAGTTGTTTTATAGTTTAAATAGGACAAAATTATTATACGTGGTTAAAAAAAAAGTGAGACCTATTTTTTATTATACATTTTATTATGACAAAAAGAAAAAAATTTATGATTAAATTTTGCTCTTGTCAAAATAGCCTCCTTTGGCCCTGATTATTGCAGCAGAAATTTTTGGCATTCATTGCAAAAGTTTCTCAAACTATAAGTTTGATAATTGATTCTTTTTCAATGACTCTAAGAGCTCTTTTCCCTCTTCTATCAAGTTCATTGTATGCCAATTCTGGGAGTAGCAGCTTCAAACTTTTGAACTGTAGTATGTATATATATATATATATATATATATATATATATATATATATATATATATATATATATAAAAAGTTTTATAAAATTATAATGTGAAGTTTCATCTTTCTAAAAATTATAATAATTTAAATTTTAATAACTTTCAATTAATGCACTTAGAAATTAGCAATCAGTAAGCCATTGTGTTTTTATTGCCTTGCTTGGGGTGAAATGATTAAAATAAAAATATAGAAATATTTTTTTAGAGAATATTAGAAATAAAAGACACTATTATGGAGAGAGAACAATAAATTATATATATTATATATTTTATTAACACCAGCACTCAATATGTAATGTTATATATATATTCAACTCTCCCGTTTAATTCGACATATGAGGGTCAAACAGATCAGTTCCTAGGAAACCAACAGCCCAACAATAGCACATGAGATTTTGATTAGAGTGGAGAAGGTTTCGTGTGGGACCATCCACACTTTTTGAAGGGTCGAATACAGAGACCTGGTGCACTATGTGCCACAAGGTCCCCAAACTACCCTCCACAGGTTTTGAATTCAGAGTTGTCCTTCTCCTAGACCAGTTGCCATCCAAGGCTATAGAAGCCAGTCTGTCCTGCTATTTACCCATAGCTGGAGGGAGAAGAAGAGGATTCACACCTTTCCCAAGGATATTAGCACGTAAGTGAATGTAAGAGACTCAACTGGAATTCGAACTCAGCTCTCTGATTCCTTAATTCAAGCCGCTATCCAATACTCCACCGTGCCTTCTATATATATATATATATATATATATATATATATATATATATTCAGTCGGGTTTCGACCCTAGCTGGAGGCAACCGGATGTCTAGCCACACTGATGAGCTGTGAAACAGTGTGTCTGTGGATGATGGTATATATATATATATATATATATCTTGGACAGTTTCTACAGACTTTGTGTCCAAAAAAGAAAGCTCTTGTGCGAACACAAAAAAAGTAAATAAAAAGCTTAACCATAGTACCTTGTTTGTTGTTTTTTTTTTAATGAAACATGCATATATATATATATATATATATATATATATATATATATATATGTTTACTTTGGATATATAAAATTTAAGTAGATTCTGCTGAGTCAAATAATCCAAGCTGAATGCAAGCAAACAAACAAAATATCCATTGCACCAACCTTCTGCTTCTCGTACAGTAAATTTTTGCAGTTATTTTGTTTATGGCTTGTAATTATTTAATGGATGTGTAAGTATTGTAATGGTTAAGGGCATGGAAAGCGGAATCAAAGTTCAAATCCCAGCCTAGTCTGTCATGTTCACTTTGATACGAATGCCCTTGGGAAATATCCAACTCTTCTCTAATGCCTTAGTTCTGGGTTAAATAATAGGGTAAACTAGGTTTGATAGCTTTGAGTGTCAGCCAGTTTAGAAATAGGAGAGTTCTGAAATCAAACCCATTCAGAAAACAGAAGTTTTATTGAATATAATGTTTAAAGTAATAATAATAATAATATACAGAGTGTTTCACAGTTGTTGAAACAAAGCAGTAACCTCTCAGATGGGAAGAGCTCAATGAGCGTGATGACCTTGATGAAGAGGAGCAGTGATTCTAGCAGGATGGTGCTCCTCCTCACACTGCTAATGTTACCATGGCATGACTCTGTGAAAAGTTTGTGGAGCATTTCATCAGCCACAAGGCTGAAGTGGAATGGACACCTCACTTGCCTGAACTCTCCAGAATCCTTCCTCTCAGGGTTCCTCAACGAGAACATCTGCCAGGGAAACCATTGATGCATTGAAGGCAGACATTGCTGAGACAATTCAAGTGATTACCCAAGAGGAATGTGCATGCATTATCAACAACTTTGCATTCAACAGAATGGCGGACATCTTAAACATGTACTCTAAGGTTCCTCTTGACATTTTTGGTCCATGTTTGAGACTAAATGGTTGCAGATCCTAAAATGTTATCCTTTTACCTTTCAATAAATGTAATTTCCATTACTCTATCATTTCTGGTCCTTGATTTTGTTTCAAAAATTGTGAAACACCCTATGTGTGTGTGTGTGTGAATTAAATTGAATTAAAGTACCAAGTTCTGTTCCATCTTCAAGCAAAATTTATTTTAGGCTCTACTTTTGTATTGAGCACTGTTTTTTAAAAATAATAACAAAAATACTAAAGAACTTTGGATTATTTACATAACGAGTTCTTTCGTATTTTCTATATATTTTCACACACACACACACACACATACATATATATATATATATATATATATATATATATATATATATATATATATTTGAAAGGGTTTTTTATCTGACATTATTTTTTATGATTATAAATGTTATTTTAGTGGGTACATGTGTTCAAGTTGCCTTACCTGTTTTTTTTTTATATTATTAAACAAGCAGCCTAAATTGAGATGTTCTACTAAAGAAAAATTGTGTCTGGAATTACCTATTAAGAAAAGCACAACCTGCCTCATGAACGTGTGTAAATGGAGTGGGAGTATAGTAAGAAGACAAACATTGTTAAGAGCTACAGAGAAAGTTGTGGAGAGCCATGTTTCCCCATGTCCTGAAGGGACATGGTATATAAAAGTGATTTATTCCTTCAAAAGAAGCAACAAAAAAAAATGCATAATGATAAAGGATAATGAATACCTGGGGTAAAATTGTTAGTTTTGACCGAAGATCATGCAGTCCCAACTCTGAGATATTTTGACCATCAATGATGATATTTCCACCAGCACTTTCAATAAGCCGGAATAGGGAAACAGTTAATGACGATTTTCCGGCTCCTGTACGACCAACAATACCAATCTGTAGAGAGAAGAATAAGATTTTTTAACGTTTCTAGATACAAACATTCAGATGGTCAAAAAATCCCCAAATAGGTTAAAAGTTTTCTGCAGGATTAAATGATTTACTTTTAGTTGATTTTGTTTATGTGGCAAGATTTTGAGCTGATTATAGCAATAGAGACTGCTGAAACACTTGACCACATGATCACTGGAGAGCTGTCCAAGATTATGAGACAATCAGTATGAGAAAACTCATTTTGTTTACATGAAACAGATACATACAAAATATTTATATTTGTTAAGCTATGCGTTATCGAATTTTGCTGAAATACTGAAAATTAAAATGAAACTGAATACTTTTTGTACAGTATTGTGTGTGTGTATATATATATATATATATATATATATATATATATTTAGGCATGTCTGAATAAATTACAGACATTATACCTGCTAATTTTTAACAAAATCAGTCCATAATTATGAATAACCTTCTGTGTATGTTAGAGGATGAGATAATGCCTTTAATTTATTCAATCAGACATTCCTAAAAGAGAATTTGCTGCCTAAATACACAAATTTTATATATATATATATATATATATATATAAAAGAAAGAGGTTGTAGTGGTTCCAACGAGAGAAAAGTGTGTATATTAAAAAGAAGTACCTCTCTTCTTTTTAATATATATATATATATATATATATATATAATGTTTGGCTACTTTCAGTCTGTTAGGATGGCTAGCCAATCTCTTTGATAGATATCTGCTCAGGCACATTTGGGATTATTCAACATGATCAGTAGTTTGAACAACACCGGTATGCTCAAAACCTCTGTCACAACAACTTGTAACTTTGTGATAGGACAACCATCAATGGTGTCAACTCAGATCGCCTTTCCAGACTGATAAAATCAAGAAATAAAAAATCGACCACGATGAGATTGAAAGCCCGGGCCTCATCGTCAGAAAGTGAATGCTCTAACCAATTGGACACAGGCCCATTCGATACTAGTAGATAAGCAAATAAAAAAATGGAAAATCTCATAAGTAATGTGTTCTATTTCAAGAAGGAACATATTCAGGCTAATAATGGTTAATAATTATTAGTCTGAGGAATAAATGAAAGCAAATTTGAAATACTGGAATCTTGAGTTGAGAAAAGAGTGAAACATGAAGGTGAGGGCTGTAGGAATACAAAAGGTGATTATCTTGCTTTGATCAAGATAAAGTCACATGGGTCATGTGACAGGCACTTAGGGATGTCACTTCATAGTGTTTCAAAAGTGGCCAGTTAGTCAACTTCCAGGAGTCAAACTAAGCAGTTCCTATTTTTAGCACAGGTGAGGCAAGAGCCTCACCTGGATGGGGTTAAATCTGCCTCCTTCAGCCAGCTCTCACATGGTGCCACTTACAATCCCATAGTGCTGTTTCCGTTTGGGAATATATATTCACCAGATATAGTAAGAAACTAGCTCTGGCTCACAATTCTCATACTGGAAAAAACCCAAGTCTAACCATTTCCTTATTTATGGAATATGTCCTTATTAGGGACATAGCAAATATATTCAGCTTGCTTGAATCTGGAATCCTAAATATTGCTTCTCCAGAAACACAGAAGCATCTCCAGAAACACAGAAGAATCTCCAAATTGTATGTAATACCCTATCTTTTCATTCTCTGCATCTTGTGTAGATGTGTTATATTTTCTCTGCATGGGACACATAAATATGTATATATAATTTTATGTGACATAAAACTCACTTTGAGAACCAAGCATGTTTGTCATTCTTTTCCCTTTCAGTCATTCTGTTCTGTCCATGAAATAAGGTATATCATGGATATAATAATGTCAATAATAGAGGGAAAATACATTTCTGCCATAGCTCACACATTATAGCTATACTGGGGAGGGTGCTGGAATAGTGAGAATTACTATCACTTCATCTCTAGTGAAAACTACCAGCTACAACTGATACAAAAACTCAATAATTGCAAATCATGTTTATTTGCCTTTGATATGAGCAATTATGAAAATACCAGAATTAATGTTGTCTTTGAATTCTTATTAAATCAGCAATTAAAAGTAAATTAATACTAATCAAATTACTTGGAGGGAACAGGTAGACATTGAAGAAGTTTTCTTAGATTTTCCATGCTCAAAATAATTATATGCACCTGAAAAACTTAAACTTCAGTTGTGCACTCTTAGAGGATAAGTGCTAATTTGTAAACAATGACTACTAGTACTAATATTACAAAACTCTTCCCTGAATTGAGCACTGTCAGTCATTGGCATGTTTATTCATAGAGTAAGTACATAAAAATTTGTCTTTCTTTCAGCTCTGCACCAATGGCTTGGGAGAAAATCTCTGACAGATCAGTTGGGTTTCAATCCTGACTTGAAGCAATCAAATGTCTAGCCACACTGATGAGCTGTGAAACAGTGATACAGTCTGTCTGTAGATGAAAATATACTCAAGATAATTATATAAATAGCTTGTAAAATTTAGACTGTTTAACACTTTACCATTCAACATTCTTAAAACCATCCTGTAAACATTGGCTCTTAATGTTCAACTCAATGTAACCCACCTCATTATAAACTCTGCCATAATATATGACAACATCATTACAAATAACACAGGAAGTCTTGAAAATAGTGCTACTTCTGTCATCTCTTCTTTGTTTGATTCACAAAGAAAAGTACAAATTTTACATTCTTTTTTTCATCTTATTTTTTAAGAGAAATGAAGCCTCACAACAAAATGGAGTCTAGTGATTCAGAGCGCTCATTTGGGGGGATATACAGTAAGGGTTATTCTAGAATCCAAAGAAAAAATGGAAAACTAGAAGAAATGCAAGATGAATTGGATATTGAGATTTCTGACATTAATAATGATGGACTGACTGATTCAGATGAGGATAATGATGTTGACATATATGTGACAGATCTTGGATGGACAAAAGATCTCTATGATGTCAATTTACCAGCATTTTTGGAACCTAATGAATGTACACATTCATTGCTGAAGGATGCCAAGTAAGTTGATGTGTTTATTTTAGACAAATTTATTTTTGTAAGGCAGTATTCATAAAAATACAAATTTTATTGTAAACTAATTATATACAATAATGGATCATATACAATATAGGTGAACAATTCAACTAGAAAAATTGAAAATAAATACATTGTATCTAAATATAAATTTGAGACATGTCTTAATAGATCATTCCATCTTAAATAAATCAACAAAGTTTTGCAGCAATTTTTATCATTAACTTGAGATTTTTCTTGTTAAAAAGTTTAATAATTTTAACACATTCAATATTATAGATAAAAAATAGTGAATTTTATATAGTGTTTTTTCAAGATTTAGCATGAGCAAAACAAATTCACAGATTAGAATGAAAAAAAAAATTTGGCATTCTTTAATAGTCAGTTGTGCTTAATTTAATTTGTAATGTAAAAAATATAGGTAGGAAAAGCAAATGCTGATAAGATAGTAAAGGTTACAATATATATATATATATATATATATATATATATAATTATTTATTTAAAAATATGATTCCAACACACTACATAAGAGTTCAATTTAATTCAAATATAATTATATTGAAGTTTTCGCTCTTGTTTTGAAACATGAGAACTCTTATGTAGCGTGTTGAATCATATTTTTAAATAAATAAATATATTTATGCTCTACTTTTGTATCGAGCACTATTTTTAAAAAATAATAACTTTGGATTATTTACCTAATGAGTTCTTTCCTATTTTCTATATATTTTTTCACACACACACTTATATATATATATATATATATATATATATATATATATATATATATATATATCCAGGTAAGATGAGAACAAATAGAGTACAATTCCAGCATTAATAACATTTAATTTAAAAGAGGACTCAATAGAAAGTAGAGCAATATTATTTATTTTAGGATATTATACTGAAAATATGTTTTTTGTATAATATCCTTAAATAAATGAAATATATATGTGTGTGTAATGTGAATGCTAAAAGGGTTAATAAAAGTAAATCTCAGGCCTTTCTCACCTTCTCCCCACCATTGATACTGCATGAAATGCCCTTAAGCACAAGATCTAACTCTGGACGATATCGTAGCTGGTAATTGTCAAAAGTAATGTTTCCTTTTGAGGGCCATGAATTGTCGGGATGATTCTCTTTGTACCAATTTGCCTGTTGTAAAGAAAAATAAAATAGATAAAATATTTAAAATAAAAATGTGTTTCATCATCATAAAACACTCCCTCTGCCTACAATCAGAATGCACAGCACTCTCCAGAGTTCATTTGGCATTGTCTTGTGGTTTTGTGAGCTTTCCTTTTTCCTTATTAAAAACATATATCAATATGAAGGTGCCACACAGTGAAGATGATATACAACAAACTAAGTGAAGACAGCATTCCAGTTGAAGTTGATACAAATGTTGTATAGCCCACTCATGCTGGGAGGTCTTGGTTATCGGTGCCAAATTAATACAATGTTGCATAGCACCTCATTCTGGGGGGCTCCTGAGCGATGACATCTATTTGATAATAAAATTGCATTCTTCTCTCACAGTTGGTTGTTTTGTTCCAGACAGAAAAGAACTTCAACACAGGGAATTTTAACTTAACTATTTATTAATCATGTCAACATATACATTATCTGTCTAGTGGGGTCGCTCTCCCCAACTGGGGAACTGTTTCAGACCTGAAAGAGATCATTGCTTGACGTGTGAGAACCAACTCACTGAAAACCCTTTCTCTATCTATTGTTCTCATGCTGGCTCAGCCAATCAAAATCAACTTCATTGTTTTGTCTTCCATCTGACCCCATAGGTTAACTTCAGAAAATCTGAGCAGAGATACCATTCCCCTAAAAATAATAGTCTACTAAACTATTAATTAACATAAGGACATTCATAGATTTTAGAAAAAAAATTATTGGCGGGGAAAAAAGGGTAAAAAAAAGTCTTACTTCATTTTCTAGCTTGCAATATTCACTGATTCTTTCCACACCAACAATATTTGTCTCAACTTCACTTCTGTTTCGGACAAACCAAGACAGGAAAAATGTTACCTAAAAGAAAAGATACAAATAACAACTGATTTCTCTAAAATCTTATTATTTTTCAGCAGTTATTTACTTTATAATTTAAAGCAAAAATGATTATTATTTTTTTTAATCATTTTGCCTCAAGAAAGTCAACAATATCACTTGAACTAGGTTTCCTGGGAGTGAAAGTAAAAAAGAATGAGAAACCTGAAAATGGGGTGGACAAAGGAAAGAATGAAAAAGAAACAGGATTTCCGAATACAGAAGATCGCAACTAATATTGCATTTAAATTTTTGAAGATTGTAATTATCAGAGAAGCAAGTAAACGGGAGGGAGTTTCACAGGAGGGAAGTGCAAGAAAAGAAACTGTTAGAGTAGAAGTGGTGATTGCATCTACTTAGTTCAACAGTAAAATGGTGAGACCTAATTGCCAACATAGTAACATGCTTAAATTTATGTAGTTGGGGCACCAGAGAAAAGAGCTTGTCAGAGCAGCTACCAAGAAAATATTTGCAGAGCAGGCAGAAGAAAGCCATGTTATGTTGGTGAGAAAGTGACTGAAGTTGAGATGCCTGATCAGGATTAATTATACAGAGTGCGATGTATAAATTGTCGCCACTTTATATTTTTAATTTCACAGAAGAAATTTGACAGTCACCAGACGAGAATTGAAAGGAACATCAAAGTTGCTCCCACATCAAGGAAAAAATCTTTGGCTGGTGTGCTTGTTCTGTTTTTCACTGTTATCACAAACTTTACTTTGAAAATTGTACCAGTTCCTTGAGAACTGTTCAGAGAAATATTTTCTCTTTTTTCACTTTATATAATTTCCTTTTCTGATAGCTTTTATATAGCTTTATAGTTTTTTATTGTAAAAAGGCATATTTCATTTTCATTGATAATATATTATTGGCCATAATTTAGCACACAATGCACTTAATTTGTGTAATTCATTAATTTTTGTGTGTTAACTTATTGTCTGTTTTTAAACTTGGCTCATGTCCTCTGTCTTTGTTGTGTGGCCATATATAAATTAAATGTTACCATAAACATTTGTTTGAACTATTTTTTTGTCGTTTTTTTTTTTTTTAGCAAATAAAAAATCCTATATAATAAATTGTATCTGAGTCTCTAGGGATTATTTAGATAACTAGTATCTGTATTTCTCAGTCTGCAAAAAAGAAATGCTTTAATCCTAAAATTTTTCTCTCCCCCGTATCAAATCAGTTGAATTCTGCTGTCTGTGATAAAAAAACCATATCTTATAATATTCCAGTGATTGTTCAACTGGTGTACCATAAGAAGATTGTAGGTGTGCTGTGAACATTTTTAAAGGTCATTAATTAAATTATTTTCAAAAGATTTTCAAAGCACAATAAGTGCACATACAAAAATTAAAACCCTTTAAATTGATTATACAAGTATATCATTGTTATAATGAATAAACATATATACATAACATATAAAATAATATAAAAAGCAAGCTTTCTGCAATAAACAATATTGAAATAAAAAATCGATCATGCCTAGAATCCTTGGAAGATGATTTAAGACTAAGAGTATGTCGGTCCAAAATTTGATCTTTCAAGGAAGATATTCTAAAAAAATGTCAAGTACAGATATCTTATTAAATGTTAAATTATAATGAACAAAAAAATAAATAAATATAAATTTTTTTTAAGAATTTGAATTATTATCTTTTTATTACAAATTATAATTAATTGTTTCATTTGTGTTAAAAAAATAAATCCTAAAAAGTATGACCATTATAATTTAAGTTTGCCACGGAAGTTTAGGTTCAAGTGTGCCGTGAGATAAAAATGGTTGAAAAACATTGTTATATTGTCTTGGTGTGGTTATTCTTAGGGAAAGTGTCTGTGCTTACATTTAGAGCATAACTAAGAGACAGTCCCACACTTCCTGGGGTCATTGTATCACGGTTGGACACAGCAAAGAGAGCAGCAGCAAAGACAATGAGGTTCCCAAGGGTTTCAAGTCTTACACCTAACCACCTGTAAAGAAACAAAAAACAAAACAAAACAAAAAAACATGGTTATTATTTAATGAATAATGAAGGTGAATATTTTCTATGTAATTTTTTTAATCTATATTGTGGCTATTATGTGACATCAGTTCAGATGCCTTAATTCCTGACAAAGTCCACCAAGGCGCAATGGCTGCCTGAGAGTGAAAGAAACTAAGGAAGCACTATAAAAGAACAGGATTCAAAGAGAAGATAATGATTGACATTGCATTAAAATGTATGAAGGTCATAGTTGACAGGAAAGCAAGGAGCTGGTAGAGAGTTCCACAGGTGAGGAGTGATAGAGAAGAAACTGTTACACATAGAACTTATGGTTTTAAGTAGAAATTTCAACAGTGAAATTATAAGACCTAGCTGCTAATCTAGTACTGTGATTAAATTTGTAACGTCAAGGTACCAAAGAGAAAAGCTCATCAAAACTATTACCATGAAAATATTTATAGAAAAGGTACAGGGAAGTTACGTTATTGTTGTAAGCTAGGGAAGGTTACTCAATAGAATAATCACACAAAGGTTGGTAATGAACGATAATACTTAGGACAAGAACAACACATATAAGATCTTCCAACGGCACGTAGAAGAAGTAGTCAACTAAGTCAAGTGAATTCTAGAATGGATATCCAACTGCAGGATATCTACCAACCACCTCACATGGTCAGATGTGGCTCTCATCACAACAGGGGCCTATCCATTGCTGCTCACAATAAATGTAAGCGAGTCCTCGAAGGAGCTAAATTCCTGTTTGCCAAGAGAATGAGGTACTGCATAGCTGCTAACAACTTTGGCTCTCATGATCACTGGCAGCTTTGTAATAGAGCATTAAATAAGTGTAAGGTTTCTATTCCTCCCCTCTTCAATAAGTTTAAGGTGTCATCATCCTCTGCTAATAAAGCTGGTTTTTGGTCATTGGATATGATAAGGCAATTTAATTTAGAGCTCCTCTTATCTTCAGAGATCCCAACATATTTTCCTTCCACACAGTTTTGTCTTTTATTCGAACCTGAAGAAGCAGAAAGCAACAGATGTTCAACAAAATTCATCATTTATAGCTTTTCTACTTTGTTGCATCATCTCCACATACATATCTATCTATCTATCTATCTATCTATCTATCTATACTTTTAGACATATCTGAATTTTCACACACACATGAACATACACACACACGCACACGCACACGCACACACACACATATATATAAAATATACTTACCGATTTGCTGCTAGTGACATGCTGAAGGAAGTTAAATTATTATCCACCATATTTTCAAGTTTCTGTTGGAATTCTTTCTGAACGCCATATGCTCGGATACTTGCAGCTCCAGCAAGTGTTTCACTAAACATACTGTAAATTGGTGATCGAGTTACAGATTCTATCCGTTTTAGCTGCCTGGAAGTTGGCAAATAATAATTCTATAAAAAATAAGATAAGACAATTCCAAGATAAAGACAAAGGTGGCTTAATAATGTTTTTCTCGGCAGAAATGTTGTTCTACATGTAATAACCTTTTGTGGGGAGCCTACTTATTCTGATTCCAATAATTGTTAATTTTGCAGTGAAAGGGCCATTCAAATTTTCCCACATATCATTTCTGGCATAGTGTGCATTCTAATAAGTATATTATGTTATGACTTGTACAGTTAGAGTTGTGTTAGATTTTGAAAGTAGTGTTAGTGACTGAGCTAGTGAATGAATTAGTGTGTTTAATATGCTTACAACACATGCTCCTTTTGTTGTTATATGGTTGGGAAAATCCTGTTGTTTTTATTCTTGGCCTATTATGTGCTACTTTATCATCTGAAATACAGTTCTTTGGTCTATGATCTGCTAAACGGCTGGGTTTCTCAAAGTTTTTATGTCTGGTTTGAGATGTAGTATTTCCCAGTGATTTTTGCTAACCTGAGATAGTGGATAATTATGTTGCAACCACATTAAACACACATCAATTTATGCAGGCCAAGTTTTCAATATTATTCTTAAATATGCATTTAACCTTTGTCAGCATGGACAAAACAGTTTTCCTTATAAGAAAAAAAACTTGACACTTACTTGGATCACATAGTATAACACTGCAATTGGGACTATGATGGACATAAATATAGGTGTGGTGTAGCTGATAGTAAACAATGTGCTCATGACGAGGAACAGAGTGGCAATAATCTGTCGAATGGCAAGAGGCAATGTATTATCAATTGTATCAACATCTTTTGAGAAACGATTGAGGATACGTCCAAGTGGGGTTGTGTCAAAGAAATTCATTGGACAGTGCAAAACATTGCCAAGCATGTCCTCCTGAAGACATTTAGCGCCTTTCAGTAGAGAGAAAGATGCCAAGATGGAATAAGCCAATACAGAAAGAGCTGCAAAATAAAGATGAAATAAAGCCTATATAAATTATGGTAACAGAAAAAGCTATAGAAGAATAAAAATTGCAGACTGCTGTCTAATCTATAAGCAGTATTTTCTGTGTGTTTCTGTGAAATTGTGTAGATCTCGAAGGTAGTAAGAATAAATATTCAGAAGTGCAGGGATTCCACCTATTTTTACGTGCGCGCGTATTGCACCCCTTCCTTTCACATTCGGCTAGATATAGTAGTAAACAGCCGTTTGTTGATGATGTGAGGAAGTTGCTGGCTACTACTGATTCCAGTTAGAACAGGATTTGAAGTTTTCCCACGCATTCTCTGACGTCACTGATGAACGGCGTTTTTCAAATCAGTCGCTGCCTGGTTTTCAAGCAAAAAGGTTGACTCATTTATTTCGCGCCCCTTACCCATATGCGGGCTGGAATATCTTAACTAACCAAAACTTCCTTGTGACTCCTTGGCTCATCATGCCGAATCTCTTCATGTGATTGCAACTTTCTTCGAACAACTTGTTTGAACTTTTCTCCGTTTTTCTACCAGAAAACATAGAGTTTATGACACTGTTGTCATCACACTTTTACAATAACTAATTCCTCATCCTGACGCGAACAACTTGTTCGAACTTTCCTCTGTTCACTATTAGGGAACGTAGAGTTTTTCGACACGGACGATTGATGAACTTCACATACACCTTTTGAACTCTAACCTTTCGAACCGGTTCTAAATAAAAAAGATAACATTACACACACATTACAAAATCTCACAGTGAGTATTTTTCCTTGTTGTGTATGCATGTACCTTTTGTATAATAAGACTCTGTTCCAGAACTTTCCTTCTGAAGAAACTTTTCCCGCCTTAGCGGGAACTATTTCTATGCAAAACACATATATTTTTGCATTTATCGTTTTATGAATGTTTTTATCTTATTCTCAAAGTAATTCAAAATTCGGAAATCATGAACAATATATATCAATGCAAGGAAAGACTGAAAAAAAAAGAAGCTATTATTATAGAAAATAAACAGTCCAGATTAAATAAAATTTCATTCATTGAAGGAGACTGCTCAGGTATTACTGGCTCTGCTTTCACTACACACTGATTATTCAGAAATCACTAAACTGTCAGCTGGATACAACTGCTTGCTGTGATCAGTGGTGAAAAAAACCTTTGAGTGATTAAAACTTAAGGGTCTTGGAAAAAATCATTCTGCTATGAATATTGTGTATATTTTTTTAAAAATAAACACAGTAATCCCCATATAATATATGGACTGTGTCATCATTATGTTAACCTGATATTTTATTAAAATTTAAATTATGTAACAGTCAGTCTAACTCAGCACCTGAAGATTGCTACTGGTGAGGAATAATATGTATATTTATTAATAATAATTAGCATAAAAAACAAACAAACAATAAAATAATAAATACAAATTTTAAACACCATAGTCTAAATAAAAAATTTAATTGCCCTACCAAAAAAAAAGAAAAAAAATGAATTATGACAGTTTTTTATATGCACAAAACTCTTTCAGAAAAAAAAATAAAATAAAATAAAAACATAAATAAATCTCCATAGACACTTGACCAGACTAGACAATGTCATCTTCCGCCTTGAATTTAGACACCCCAACCTTACCCTGACTCGACCTCTTTGAATGTAACTGAGATATTGATACAAAGTATTAACCCTTACGCCCTTTTTTTTTTTTTAAATAATTGCTCTAACCATTACCATAGCAATTTTAATTTTAATAATGAATATGCTTATAAAACGCAAAAATTTCAAGAATTAGTTATTCCAAAAAATTTCGCTTGAAGATGGAACAGAGCTTGGTACTTTAATTCAATTTAATTCAAATAATTATATTGAAGTTTTCAGCTCTTGTTTTGAAACATGAGAACTCTTATGTAGTGAAGGAATCATATTTTTAAATAAATAATTATATTTAGTCTCTACTTATGTATTGAGCACTGTTTTTTTAAAAATAATAACAAAAATACTAAAGAACTTTGGATTATTTACCTAATGAGTTCTTTCCTATTTTCTATATATTTTCACACATATATATATATATATATATATATATATAAATAAAAAGAAAGAACAGTAAGATATATAATCCAGTGTTCTTATTAATATTTTTCATCTTTATTTTTACAAAACAGTGCTCAATGTAAATTTACAGAGCATAAATATTATAAATTAACTGATTTAAAATATGTTTTTTTTCACTACACAGTAATAACCATGTTTCAAAAACTGAAGCTAAAAACTTCAAATTTAATTATATAATTAAATTAAAAGCATTAGTTCAGTTTCATCTTCAAGTGAATATTGGAATAACTTATTTTTAAATTTACTGAGTTTTAAATGCACACATTAATTCATAATTTCCTATTTCCAAGGACACAGAGAAATCCAATCATTCAGACAGGGGTGGTAGCGTGTTCATTTATTAACTATTGTTGTATCAATTATGAGTTACATTCGAAAAAGAGGTTAAGTTTAGGGAGGGTAGGGGTGTATTTTTCAATGAATTCTGACACCTGTTAAATACATGTCATCTGTTTTTTTTTTATTAATAGCAAAAAGTTTTTCAGCATTTTTTTTTGTACTTGTATACTTAAAGATTCTTTCTAGAGGTGTTTGGGTTAGAAAACTTCTATAAATTAGTGACAAGTGCCTACAACGATCTAATAAATAAGGGTTTACATAAGAATTATAAAAAGGCAAATAATAATGACCTGAACATGGTGGAGAATATCAATACTAGCATTAAAAAAATCACAGACAAACTGAGGATTAGTGATAGAGTAGGTCAACTAAATGAAAAAGAGTGCTATATAACCTTAAAAGACCACAAACCAGATTTCGAGGCTAATCTGACTACAAGGATAATAAACCCAACAAGACCTGAGATCGGAAAAATTAGTAAAAAGATCCTTGAAAGGGTAAATCAACAAATTAAAGAAAAAATAGGAATGAAACTTTGGATTAATACCAAAGACGTGACAAACTGGTTTGCTGATATAAAGGAGAAAACAAACTGTACACTAATGCAGTTTGATATTGAAAATTATTATCAATCAATATCTAAAGAACTGTTCATGAATGCGTTCGTCTTTGCTACCCAGTACATGGATATTACAGAAGAAGAAAAGATCATTATTATAAATGTGAAAAAATCAGTACTGATACATAAAGGTGAGCAATGGATAAAAAATTCATATGACCACTTTGACATCACAATGGGATCACTAGACTCAGCAAGGTATTTTCATCTCAAATTTTCTATTTGAAAACTGATTTGTTCAACTTGTGAGACATTTGAGAACCAAGGTTGCACTATATATATATATATATATAGAGAGAGAGAGAGATATGTAAGAAAAAGCAATGTGTTAAATACTTCTGCTACCCACTGTGTGTGTATATATATATATATATATATATATATATATATATATATACACAGGGCGCATCAAAAAATACTTTTACAAACTTTGGGGGCAGGTTCCTCACCAAAACAAGGACAAAAGTCCATATAAAGTCCATGAAAGATAGATAGGTAGAGGAGAACCGTTCCATGGCTGACACCTTCCTCTGACCTGGAAAAAAATTTTGGGTGATGCATTTTATACTTTTGGACCTCATTGGACTAAAGTGACATTTATGTTAATGTGACTACTCATGAGCATGAAGGAGAGAGAATGCTGAAATTTTAAACTTTAAATTTACATTTTTTTTTAATTGTGTTTGGGTTTTATAGTCTAAACAATTTCATTTAGTTTCTTTTTCACTTTCTTAATATTTTTTATCACTTTCGTTATGATAATCAAAGATTTGTCAAGAAAAGTGAAATGGAAACTGATTAATATAAAATCCGTATACATTTCAAAATTTTCTAACAGTATCAATAACCACAACAAAAACTACTATTCAAAATCTTCCAAGAAATTAACGGTAAATTTTACCTTGCGCAATGCCAAGACCTCCATACACTCCAAGATAGATATCCAATTTACTCTCAGGTTCAGTCCCATTTGCTTTTGGGCTTTTATCAGCCAACCTATCTTCTGACCACCAACTCAACCAGATATTTCCAAAAACAGCAAATACTTGGAAAAGAAAATATAATCCCAAGACTAGTAGGGAAGACATCATACCAATGGACTTGGCATATGTAAGGTAGACATTCAGCTTCACCTGGGAATTAAAAATAGAAAACAAATATTCTAACATCGTTAAAATGAAAATATTTCATTTGATCGCAAAAATTTTTTCCTTAATTTCATTAAATTCATCGTTTGGAAAAATTTGATCACTTTGGACCAATTTTTAATTTAAATTTCATTTTAGTCTTTCTTAAATGAGTTTGTACAAAACGAAAAGAAATCAATATTTACTTCACTGGCTAAGGAAAAAAAAGGAAAAGAAAAAGAATAAAGAAAAAGGAATAAGAATGGAAGAAAAGGGAAAGGAATAGAGAAAAGGGAAAGGAATAGAAAAGGAAGAAAGAATGGAAAAGAAGAAAGGAATAGAGAAAAGAAAATAGGAATAGAGAAAGGAATTTAGAGAAATGGAATAAAGAAAGGAATAAGAAAAGAATAAAAAGAGAAAAAGGAATAAAATAAGAAAGGAATAGAGAAAGGAATAAGAATGGAATAGAGAAAGGAATAGAGAAAGGAATAGAGAAAGGAATAAAGAAAGGAATAGAGAAAGGAATTGGAATAGAGAAAGGAATAGAGAAAGGAATAGAGAAAGGAATGGAATAAAAAGGAATAAGAATTTAAGAAAGGAATAGAGAAAGGAATTTTTATAGAGAAAGGAATAGAGAAAGGAAAATAAAAAAGACAATTTTAAAAGGAATTTCTAAGAAAGGAATAAGAATGAAATTTGGAATTTAGAGAAAGAATAAAAAATGGGAAAAGAAAAAGAAATAGAAAAAATAAGAAAGAAAAGAAAGGAATAGAGAAAAGGAATAAAGAATGGAATAGAGAAAGGAATAAAGAAAGGAATAGAGAAAGAAAAAGAATAGAAAAGAGAAAGGAATAAGAAAAGAAAAGGAATAAGAATGGAATAGAAAAGGAAAAAGAATAGAGAAAAAGGAATAAGAATGGAAAAGAAAAAGAAATAGGAGAAAAGAAAAGGAATAGAGAAAGGAAGAAAGAATAAAAAGGGAATAGAAAAAGAATAAGAAGGAATAGAAAAGGAATAAGAATAGAATAGAAAGAAAGGAATAGAGAAAAGAATAAAGGAATAAATAGAGAAAGGAATAAGAATGGAATAAGGAATAGAGAAAGAAAAGGAATAAAAGAAGAATAGAGAAAGAGAAAGGAATAGAGAAAAGGAAGAAGAATGGAATAGAGAAAGGAATAGAAAGGAATAGAAGAATGGAATAGAGAAAGGAAGAAAGAAAGGAATAAGAAAAGGAATAAAAGGAATAGAAAGGAATAAGAGAATAGAAAAATAAGAAATGGAATAGAGAAAGGAATAAGAAAGGAATAGAGAAAAGGAATAAGAAAGGAATAGAAAAAGAAAAGAAAGAATAGGAATAAGGAATAAGAATGGAATAGAGAAAAATAAGAATAGAAAAAAAAGAATGGAATAGAGAAAAGGAATAGAAAAGGAATAAAGAATGGAAAGGAAAAAAAGAAAAGGAATAGAGAAAAAGGAATAAAGAGAAAGAATAGAATAAAAGAAAAGAATGAAAGAAAAAGAATAGAGAAAAAAGGAAAGAATAGAAAAAAAGAATAGAGAATAGAGGAAAAGAAAGGAATAGAGAAAGGAATAAGGAATAGAGAAAAGAAAATAGAATAGAGAAAGGAATAAAGAAAGGAATAGAGAAAGAATAAAAAAAGAATAGAGAAAAGAATAAAATGGAATAGAAAAAGAAAAGAATAAGAAAGGAATAGAGAAAGGAATAAGAGAAAAGGAATAAGAAAAGAAAAAAGGAATAGAAAGGAATAAGAAAGGAATAGAAAAAGGAATAGAGAAAGGAATAGAATGAAAAGAAAGGAATAAGAATGGAATAGGAGAAAGGAATAAAAAGAATAAAAAGGAATAAGAAAGGAATAGAGAAAGAATAGAGAAAAATAGAAAGGAATAGAGAAAGGAATAGAAAGAAAAGAATAGAGAAAGGAATAGAGAAAAAGAATAGAATGGAATAGAGAAAAGAATAAGAAAGGAATAGAGAAAGGAATAAGGAATGAATAAAAGGAATAGAATGGAAGGAATAAGAATGGAAAAAAGGAATAAGAATGGAATAGGAATAGAGAAAAATAAGAAAGGAATAGAGAAAGGAATAAGAATGGAAAAGAAAAGAAAGAAAGGAATAGAAAGAATAGAATAAAGAAAAGGAAAAGAATGGAATAGAGAAAGAATAAAAAGGAATAGAAAAGGAATAGAGAAAGGAATAAGAAAATAGAATAGAAAAGGAATAAAGAATGGAATAAAAGGAATAAGAAAGGAATAGAGAAAGGAAAAAAGAAAGGAATAAAAGGAAAAATAGAGAAAGGAATAGAGAAAAGAAAGGAATAAGAAAGAAATAAGGAATAGAGAAAGGAATAAGAATGGAATAGAGAAAGGAATAAGAAAAAAGGAATAAGAAAGGAATAGAAAAAAATAAGAATGGAAGAAAGGAATAGAAATAAGAAAGGAATAGAGAAAGGAATAATAGAAAAGGAATAAGAAAAATAGAATAGAGAAAAGGAATAAGAATGGAATAGAAAAGAAAGAATAAGAATAGGAAAAGGAATAGAGAAAGGAATAGAGAAAGGAATAGAGAATGGAATAGAAAGGAATAAAGAAAGGAATAGAGAAAAAAGAAAAGGAATAGAAAGGAATAAGAAAGGAATAAGAAAGGAATAGAGAAAGGAATAAAAAGGAATAGAAAAATAGAAAAGGAATAAGAATGGAATAGAAAAAGGAATAAGAAAGGAATAGAATAGAGAAAGGAATAAGAAAGGAATAGAAAGGAATAAGAAAAAGAATAAAGAAAAAAGGAATAAGAATGGAATAGAGAAAGGAATAAAATAGGAAAGGAGAGAAAGGAATAAGAAAGGAATAGAGAAAAAAATAGAATAGAGAAAGGAATAGAAAGGAATAAGAAAGGAATAGAGAAAGGAATAAGAATGGAATAGAGAAAATAAAGAAAGGAATAGAAAAAGGAATAAGAATGGAATAGAATAAGAAAAAATAAGAAAGGAATAGAGAATAAAGAAAGGAATAGAGAATAAGAAAAGGAGAAAGGAATAAGAATGAATAGAGAAAGAAAAGAATGGAATAGAAAGGAATAAGAGAAATAGAGAAAGGAATAAAGGAATGGAATAGAAAAGAATAAGAAAATGAATAGAGAAAGGAATAGAGAATAAAAAGGAAAAGGAATAGAGAAAATAGAGAAAGGAATAGAGAAAAGGAATAAGAAATGGAATAGAGAAAGGAATAAAATGAAAAATAGAAAATAGAATAAAAAGGAATAGAAAAAGGAATAGAAAGGAAAAAGAAGAAAGAGAAAGAATAGAAAAATAGAGAAAGGAAAGGAAAAAAGAGAAAAGGAATAAAGAAAGGAATAAGAGAAAGGAATAAGAAAGGAATAGAGAAAAAGGAATAGAAAGGAAAAAGAATAAGAAAAAAGAAAGGAAATGGAATAGAGAAAAGAAAAAGGAGAAAATGGAATAGAGAAAGGAATAGAGAAAGAATAGGAAAGGAATAAGAAAGAAAAAGGAATAAAGAATAGAAAAGGAATAAAAATAGAATAGAAAGAAAAAAGGAAAGAAAAGGAATAGAGAAAGGAATAAGAATGGAATAAAGAAAAGAAAAATAGAGAAAAGAATGGAATAGAGAAAGGAATAAGAAAGGAATAGAAAGAAAATGGAATAGAGAAAGGAATAGAGAAAAGGAATAAGAATGGAATAGAGAAAGGAATAGAGAAAGGAATAGAATAAAAAGGAATAGAGAGAAAAAGGAATAAGAATGGAATAGAGAAAAATAAAGAATGGAATAGAGAAAGGAATAGAGAATGGAATAGAAAAAAGAGAAAGAAATAAGAAAGGAAAAAAAAGAATAAAGAAGAAAAGGAATAAGAAAGGAATAGGAATAAGAAAGGAATAGAGAAAGGAATAAGAAAAAATGGAAAAGGAATGAAAGGAATAAGAAAATAGAGAAAGAAATAAGAAAGGAATAGAGAAAGGAATAGAAAATAGAAAATAAGAAAAAGGAATAGAGGAAAAGAAAGGAATAAAAAAATAGGAATAAGAAAAGAAAGAGAAAGGAATAGAAAGGAATAAGAAAAGGAAAAGAGAATAGAAAGAATAAAGAATGGAATAGAGAAAGGAATAAGAATGGAAAAAGAATAATAGAGAAAGGAAGGAAAAAAGGAATAGAGAAAGGAAAGAAAGGAATAGAGAAAGAATAGAAAAAGAAAAAAGGAATAGAATGGAAGGAATAGAATAGAAAAGGAATAAGAAGAAAAAGGAATAGAGAAAAGAAAAGGAATAAGAGAAAGGAATAAAGAATAGAGAAAAAGAAAAAAGGAATAAGAATGGAATAGAAAAGAATAAGAAAGAGAAAGGAATAAGGAATAGAGAAAGGAATAAGAAAATAGAGAAAGAATAGAGAAAGGAATAGAGAAAGGAATAGAGAAAGGAATAAGAAAGGAATAGAGAAAGGAATAGAGAAAGAATAAATAAGAATGGAATAGAAAGAAAGGAATAGAATGGAATAAGAAAAAAATGGAATAAAAAGGAATAGAGAAAAGAATAAGAAAGGAATAAGAAAGGAATAGAGAAAAGAGAAAGGAATAAAAAGGAATAGAAAAATAAGAATGAATGGAATAGAAAAGGAATGGAATAGAGAAAGGAATAGAGAAAAGAATAGAGATGGAAATAGAGAAAGAAAGAATAAGAAAGGAATAGAGAAAAGAATAAAGAATGGAATAGAGAAAGAATAAGAATGGAATAGAATAAATAATAGAAAGGAATAGAGAATGGAATAGAGAAAGGAATAAGAATGGAATAGAGAAAGGAATAAAGAATGGAATAGGAATAGAGAATGGAATAGAGAGAGGAATAAGAATGGAATAGAGAAAGGAATAAGAATGGAATAGAGAAAGGAATAAGAATGGAATAGAGAAAGGAATAGAGAAAGGAATAGAGAAAGGA